TAGAGGTGGAGGGATTCACTGAAGAAGATGTGAAAACCTTCATCAAAAAGTACTTCAGAAGGAAGACAAACCTGGCCGAACAGCTTATCGGACGATTGCATGACGATAAAACCTTACATGAAATTTCGACGAATCCTCTCAACATTGCGCTTCTTTGTCTGGTCTATGAAGATTTGAGAGGTGTATTTCCTGAAAGCAGAAGTAAGCTGTACATGGACATAGTGGATTGTATACTAAGAAGATACAGAGCAAAGAAACAACTTTCAGAAGTCGAAGAGGACCCTGTTGGACTTTACGAAAGCCAACTGAACCACCTTGGCTCGATAGCTTTGAAAGGTTTATTAGAAGACAACTTGGACTTTGACGACAATGAGCTTGGAAAACACAAAGGAAGTGATCTACCAGAACTTGGATTTCTCTCTGTTCAGCCCGGACGCAGTAAACTCCGAGCTACTAGACGTTATGGCTTTCTTCACAAGACTTTTCAAGAGTTCTTCGCCGCCTTGAATCTCGTTTGTCAGCTTATCAATAAGGAAATTAGCACGGACAGCATAGCTGTTGACAGACGATATCGCCACGAGCTGTAAGAAGTGCTTCTATTCACATTTGGCATTCTAGCCGCACGGTGCGAGGAAACAGCAGAGAACCTTATGAAAAGTATGGCGGCACAGTTAAACCAGGAAGACAGGAATAGGGAAGCCAGAAATAGTATGACTGTTATATTAGAGTGCATTTATGAATGCAAAAATGAAAATTATTTTGATGTAAAATTGGCCCGCACTCTTGGCCCTTGTCTCCAAATTGAAACCATTACTGTTAGGCGCACATTAAGATCAGAGGTGGCTAAGACTATCTTACTAACCAACATTCTTAGAACAAATACAAGTATGACAAAGTTGGATTTGTCTTTGAATAAAATTTGTGATGACGGTGCCGCTGCTCTGGCTGATTGTTTGAAAGAAAAGAAGTCTCTGACAGATTTGAGTTTGTCTTCTAATGAAATTGGTGATGCTGGTGCTGCTGCTGTAGCTGAGTGTTTGAAAGGCAATACATCTCTGACAAATTTGGATCTGTCTTCTAATGAAATTGGTGGTGCTGGTGCTGCTGCTCTGGCTGAGTGTTTGAAAGAGAAGACATCTCTGAGATATTTGAATTTGTCTTTTAATGTAATTGGTGATGCTGGTGCTGCTGCTCTGGCTGAGTGTTTGAAAGAGAAGACATCTCTGAGATATTTGAATTTGTCTTCTAATGTAATTGGTGCTGCTGCTCTGGCTGAGTGTTTGAAAGAGAATAAATCTCTGACAGTGTTGAGGTTGTCTTCTTATGAAATTAAATTGATGCTGATGCTGCTCTGGCTAAGTGTTTGAAAGAAAATAAATGTCTGAGAACGTTGGATTTGGATGAAAATAACATTAGTGAAGCTGGTGCTGCTGCTCTGGCTGAATGTGTAAAAGAAAATTCATCTCTGGAAAAGTTATATCTGAACGGAAATATCCTTAGGGAAGCGGGTGCTGCTGCTCTGGCTAAGTAAGTATTTGAAAGAAAACACATCTCTAGAAGGGTCGTCTTGACCTTTAAATTACTTTGGTAATTCTGGTGCTGCTGCTGCTCTGACTGCTGTGCGAGAGTGTCATCCATCTCTAACCGAGTTAGATGGGCTTCCCCTGAAATTTTATACTCTGTGCTCTGACCAATTTTAAAAAGCGATAATGTAGCGAATAATCAGGGATTCACGGCTCTTACTCTTAGCAGGGTAAATGTACAGTAGCTTCCAATTATCGATATAAATATTAATGCAATAGTTATGTAGCATCTGAATAAAGGCTGATAGTTTCGAAAGAAACTGTTTGGGGCTGCGTCGGTGGGAGTAACGAAATAATATGGATATTTCAAAGAAGTTGAAATGGTAAATTGGCCACCGTAACGGTTACAAAAGCTGACGTTTCGAGCGTTAGCCCTTCGCTCCGACGAAGGGCTAACGCTCCAAACGACGGTCAGCTTTTGTAATCGTTACGGTGGCCAATTTACCATTTCAACTTTGTCTATATATCCATATTATGTAGAATCTATTCACTAAGATTATCTACTTTAGTATAAGAGCTTCATTTCAACGATAAATGTATTTCTTAAGACTTTTAACTGATGTAAATAAAAGTATTTTCAGCAGAATTTCAAGTTTTCTCCTAGTATTCTCTATGGGTGTTTGGTTTTTTTTTGTTCTGCATTCTTCCGGAAAATCTGTTTGATCCCGATGCTCCTTCGTTTACTGTTTCCTTACTTCATGTCAACTGTTTTGCTTGAGATCTTTAGGAAATTGACGCAATTGGTTCAATGTGGTATGGATGCTATAGGAATTCGGTTTTACTTTGGTCATGAATACTGAAATTAGGCGAAAGGAAAAAAGAGAGAGAAAAAGGACACTGGCGGCAGCTACAGATTATGCAGGTGTTCAAACTTTCCCTACCCTACCCTTCTCCTCAGATATTGTCAGTTGTTAATTTTACCAGAGAATTTCTGGGAAAGGAGTAGGAGAGGAAAAAGGAGAAAACCTGGGGTGGGGGAATTCAAACACGGGATTGTAAAACAGGTTCACCAGCCTTTAAATAACATAAAAGGAATGGAAAAAAATGTGCGACGATGGAAGAGGATGAACAAGAGAGGAAAAACCGCGGTAAAGTTATGTTTGTCACAAGTAGTCAAGAGACATCTATGCATAATGAATCAAAGATCACGGACTCGATCAAAAAGGGTTGTTGGGGTAATCCCACGCTAGAATAATAATTTTTTCTGCAAGCTCCTTACGGGAGTTACTCCATGACATCGCAACTCGCTTGAGATATGGCGGACATGTCGCACGCGCTGAACAATAGAACACGCTGAAAAAAAAGATTGCAAGATAAGGTCATTATTAAATTGCCTAGGAGATCGGTGGATTCTTAGTAGCCCAGGTACCCCCACCCCACCCCACCCC